CCCCACCCATACATCTGAACACCTTTGGGTGCCTCTGTCCTCTATCTGGACTCTTTCTACTGTTCTCCTGCTTCCTCCTTACTGCTGTCTTTAAGCAACACCACTGGTCTTAAGGTAGGTAAGCTAGAACACTTAGCCTTCTTGAATAAGGGCGAAAAATTTCTGAGAACATGTTTGCAAGTTGTGCATGTTAAAGATCCTAAATCTAAAAAAGTAGACTTCGGCCGCCCACGGGCAAAATTCAAATTTCAAAAAATAAAATACCCTATTCAGTGTACAAACATATTATTACAGAGTACCTTCAAAATAAAAATGTGACTTCTGAATGGCAAGGAGCCCTACGCGTTAGGAAAGACGGTCACATACGGTAAAATTTAGCATAGAAATGCAAGCAATATAGAAGATCTAACCAGGTGGATCCTTCAAAACTTTGTAGAAAGCATCTGACTGTCTTGTTGTTGTTGTTGGTGGTGGTGGGTTCTTTTGGTGGGTTTTTTTTTTTGGGGGGGGGCGTGTTGGGTTGTTGTTGTTTTTTTAGAAATAATGATAATAATATGTTTAAGATATTATTATAATGACGTTTTCAAGTATGCATTTGAGGAAAAGGTTACGAAATTTACATATAATTTATATGTTGTGTTATAGTTTCTCGTCCAACTTGTTATAATTGTGATGAGGTCAAATTATGCTTCACAGAAAATAAAGATAAGCGCCTGAATATTTTTTTCATTTGTGTTGCCTCTGCTTTTGAAAAATGTAACCTGTCCACAAGTATATCACAATTTTTACAATACAGATGTATTTTGGAGTATAAATACCACCATCGCTTGTTCTTCGTTGTCTTTAAGCACTTCGCTTAACAGGTAAAACTCTTACATTGCTATCGAAAATAGTGCAATCGTTTAAAGGTAAAGATAGACCAAAATTGATGTTTGTTTCACGACACGGTAGAATCAGGCGATCGCCAATTTTTGAGCATATGGAGTAATTGATATGGTCTTAAAGCCCCTTCACTTGCCTTGTGTTTGAATTTTAAAAATACTCATTTATCTGGAATAGAAGTTTAGACATTTGCCACTAAAGGAGGTGAGGGTCGCAAGTAGAATTAGAAAGAAAATGGCCGCTTACAAATCTTGAGTGTCCTTGAAAAGTTCAAATTTTCTTCTTTTTTGGGGGGGGGGGGGGGTCATTTAGATGAACGTTTTTCAGCAAAAATAAAAAAGACGTGTGCTTTTGAATAAACATAAAAGTTTTGAGTTAAAATGAAAATTTGATTTAAAAAATAATAACATACTGCCAGAAAAATGCCGGAATCTTTTATTTCAATATTTTGACGAGCGCCTGATTTCACCGTTTGTGTTATTTTCCCTGTCAAAAAATGCCTATGCTTTTTTGTAACTGGATTAGAAATGTGTGAGATCTGGAGTTAACTTTGAAAAGAAAAATAACATGAGCTAAGATATTAGGATAAAGATAATACATTACGAAGAAGAAGAAGAAGAAGAAGAAGAAGAAGAAGAAGAAGAAGGAATAGTCGAAGCAATATTACAATTTTGATAATAAATACCTGCGTGTTCATATCACTTGTTAGTGTTCGGAAAAAAGGTAGTTTATTTTTTGTTTTTCACCTTCCAGTGCAGCATTTACTGTGTCAATTTTAGAAGAAGAAGTATTGGTCGTATTGTGATTTTGATAATCAAGGCTGAATGTTCATTTGACTTGTATGTGTCCAAATAAGGCAGTATACGGTTTAAACCTTCCTGTGAAGTCAACTATTTCCTTGCGGATAAAGGCAATGTCACTGAAATGGCCGGGCTTGTTTATGTTTCAGAATGACATCACTGTGCCTGCTCTCTGTTCTCCTCCTTGTGGGGACCTCAAATCTGGGTGCTGGTGAGTTTGTGTGCATGTTTGTATGTTTGTGCAAGAGACGGTGTGTCAGTGCTTGAGTACACCTGTTAAGGAATGTATACGTGTGGAATTTATAAAAGTATAAGAATACTTCTTTTTTGGTTGGGAAAGCAAATCGGAGTATGTGTCCACCAACTAAGTGGCAGTTTGGAAACGACGCGACTAGATTGTTGGCCTACTGGCCTATCTATGCCCCGATTGTGTGCTCTAGACTATTGACGTAGCCCTGGTTAATGTGCATTTTGTCACTCCTCGCGTAAACATAACTGTGCTAGTATTTGAATATTATTTCTATTATCAGTTTTTCATCTTCCATCTATTTTTCCAACCGTTCTCTCTTATCTCCAAGTGAAACCTGACTGCATAGCAAATAGCACGCTAGGTAGTAAAATAGGCCTTTGCACACACAGTATTTACTGCATGGAAAAGCAAAATACACATCAAGAAAGAGTGCATTCTAGTCGATTCTTTCCTACTATTGAGGTATAAAAATATTATCATGTGCTTGCTTAAGACAAGTTATGCCGGAGTATTTTGCCACTGATGCGACCTTCGAAACGAGGTCACCCACCGGCACGAGTTTCGGGTT